GCTTCCCTGGCCCCACCTGGGTGGCTCAGAACTTCCCAGCAGGTCCATCACAGCCGGCCAGTTTACTAAGGATATTAATTAATTACACTGGCTTTCAGTACCTCTAACCTCATCCATTACATAAATGGATAATTACTTAGTGAGAAAAACTTCAGCCGTGCAGCTTGACGACGACATATCGTGAGCAAAATACACTGAGGCAGCTTTCTTCCCACCCAGAATAAAAAATTGCCACTAAGTAAATTGAATATGAAAATTGCAGGCCCTTGTTTACCGGAAAGACAGGAAAGATAAAAGAATCCCTACTTCATGGAGAGATGCTATGGATATTAATGCAAAAAAAGATTTATGAAGTGGTAGAGCAGGATACAAATGTCAACTGCTATTTGGGGCCCAAAATAGGGAAAGTGAATCAAGTTCTCTGGGGTAAAATAAATTAGGGGACACATGCATGCTTACTTTGGGATTTAGGAACACAAATGAATTTTTTAAAGTCCCAACAAGAACCAGTGACAATCTTAAAATGATGTCTGATAAATGCGCAGCAATGTGCTGCCATCACCACTAACAGTAGACCGTTCCCGTTACTCCCCGCAAAGAATCCTCATTCCTAGTTCTGCTTGCTCCCCATTTCCATGCCCAGCCTAAGGCAGGTACTTTTACTTTTTGTCTTTACCGAATTTCCTCTTCCCTGGAGATTTCATAGAAGCAGGCTTATACAATAAATAGCTGGCCTTCTGCATGGGGCTTTTTTCGCTTAGCACAGTCTTTCTGGGGTTCGTCCACACGCTGGTGCGTATCTGTGTTCTGTTCCTTTTATTCCTGAGCAGCATAGGTCACATTTTGTTGATCCATTCGTGGGTTTCCAGCTCGGAGACTGTGCATAACATTGCTAAGAACATCTGCACTCAAGTCTTTGTGTGCCCTTGTTTTTCTCTCAGGCTGACACCTAGGCATGGGATTGCTGGGCCATGCACTTAGTTAATGTTTAATTTTGTCAAAAAGCTGCTACACCGTATTCCCACAGTGGCTGTCCTATTTTCCATGGCCACTAGCAGAGCTTGAGAGTTCCAGTACTCTACATCCTTGACTACTGTTATTGTCAGTCTTTTTAACTATAGCTCTTCTGATGGGGAAGGAATAGTATCTCATTATGGTTTTGATCAGCATTTCTTTAAGAGCTAATGATGTTGAGCATTTCATGTACTTATTGGCTCTATTTGTGTATCTTTGGGGAAATGCCTATTAAAACTTCTCGCTCACTTTAAATAAGGCCATTTTCTCGCTGAGTTTTTTATATATTCTGGACGCATCAGTCCTTTACAGAAGACGTGATTTGCACCTGTTTACTCCCAGTCTGCTTGTCTTCTCACTTGTTTCCTCTTCCTTAATGGTATATTTTGGAGCATAAATTTTTGATTTTGATGAAGTTCAATATGCTTTTGAGGTTGTATCTAAGAAATGCTTGCCTAACATAAAATCATAAAGATTCATACAGATACTTTTCTTCTAAGAGTTTTATCATTTTATCTCTTACACCAAGGTCTGTCTGTAGCACAGTAAAAGTAACAGTCATCTTTTGGCATCTGGATATTTAATTTTCTCAGCACCATTTAAAAAAAGATTATCCTTTCACCATTATAGTTATCAAAAATGAACTGATTCTAAATGTAAAGGCTTATTTGATTCTCAATTTTGTTTCATTGATCCATTTGGCTATCCCTATGTCAGTAGGACACAATAATACTACAGCTTATGCTAAGATTAAAATCAAAGTTTAACTATTCTAACTTTATTCTTCTCTTCCAAGATTATTTTGGCTATTCTGTGAGATATGAATTTGTATTTCCATATGTATTTTAAGATCATTCTTTTCAATTGCAAAAAAAGACACCTGGGGTTTTGATAGCATTTGCATTAAATACATAGATTAGTGTGGAGTGAACCACAATCTTACTAATGCTGAGTATTCTAACCCATGAATATGGAATGACTTTTATTTATATCTCTTTTAATTTCTTTTAAAATGTTTGTAATTTTTATTCTGGCACTCCTTTTGCTGAATTTATTCTTAGACATTTTACTTTTTGATGTTGCTATGAATGGAATTGCTTTCTAAATTTCATTTTCTGATTGTTTCATTACTAGTTTATAGAAACATAATTTTTGTATATTGATCTTATATCCTGCAACCTTCATGAAATCTATTAGTTTTAATTGTGTGTGTATGGGGCATTTGTTTTCTCATTTAATTTTCAAGCATAAGATCATGTTGTCCTTTAATAAAGATGGTTTTGCTTCTTCCTTTCCAATCTGGATGCCTCTTATTTTCTTTCTTTCTTTCTTCTTTCTTTCTTTCTTTCTTTCTTTCTTTCTTTCTTTCTTTCTTTCTTTCCTTCCTTCCTTCCTTTCCTTTTCTTTTTTCTTTTTTTTTCCTAACTACTTTAATTTTCAAGCATAAGATCATGTTGTCCTTTAATAAAGATGGTTTTGCTTCTTCCTTTCCAACCTGGATGCCTCTTATTTTCTTTCTTTCTTTCTTTGTTTCTTTCTTTGTTTCTTTCTTTGTTTCTTTCTTTGTTTCTTTCTTTCCTTCCTTCCTTTCCTTTTCTTTTTTCTTTTTTTTTTCCTAACTAGATTGTCTAGAACTCCAGTATATTACTAAATAGAAACAGCAAGAGCTGACATTTCTCTGTTCTTCCTGAACAAGGGGAAAACAATCTTTTACTACTAATATGCTGTTGGCTCTGGGTTTGCCATAAACACCCTCTGTCACGTTAAGAAATTTATCTTCATTTCAAGTTTGTTGGAAGTTACTATTATGAATAAGTATTGAGGTATGAATATTTTTCAAATACTTTTTTTGCATCTACAGACATGATCATGTAGTTTTGTTCTTAATTCTATTAATATTATGTATCATATTAATTGATTTGGGGGCGTTAAACCAACCATGCAATCCAGCGATAAATCCCCTATGTTTATAGTACATAATCCTTGTTATATGGCCTTGAATTTAGTCCACTAATATTTTGATGAAAGCTTTTGTATGTATAGTCACGAAGGATATCGGTCCGTGGCTTTTATTTTGATGCCTTTGTCTGAATTTGGTATCAGAGTAATAATGTTGGCTTTCTAGAATGAAGTGAGATGTGTTTCTTTTTCTTATACTTTGTGAAAATTTGTGAAGTATTAGTATCATTTCAATAAACAATCTTTGTAATCCTCAGCATAGAGACTTATTTAATTTTTAAACATGTTATTAGCAATGATACTTTGAAAGTTCTTTTTTGAATTTTTTACTGCAAAGTTTACACAAATATGCCTGTTCTTGAATATTGACCTTGTACCCAGTGACCTTCAAAATGAGAATATTAATTCAACATCTGGGGAGAAGATTGTCTATTAATAAAAGTCATGTCATCTACAAATGATAACACCACGAATGAGAGTAAGTGAACGGCCACACTAGATTTAGGGTTAGTGATTGCGACGACAGAGTCACCTGCAGAGTAGTGGCAGTATTTACAGACAGCAAATGAAACACATGACTTGGGCTGATCATTGTGGCCTTTCTTCTACTGTGTTCCTCTCCATAGCAGGAGAGGGACCTGCTTTCTAGGGCTGCAATCTACAGCAAGAGTTGGACATTCAATTCTTTTTTTTCTTTTTTTTTTTTTTTTGGTACCAGGGATTGAACTCGGGTCCTTGTGCTTACAAGGCAGGAGGCAGAACCACTGAGCTAAATCCCCAGCCCTAGACATTCAATTCTTAACCTGCACTTGTGTGTGCGTGTGTGTGTTGGGCTCTGGTTGAACAGTACAGCAATACATAGTCTAGTACTTGGAGTGTTAAGCATTATTACAGTCCTCCATTAGCAAAAATGAAAACCACACTATTTTTAATTAAATTACTGCTTCAATTTATGAATAGAGCCAAGGTCGGGAAACTCCCCAAAGTTTTCATTTATCTTTGTCCAGGTGGCTTATCCAGCATCCCTGGCAGTTCTGCCCTGCACTGGATTGGGCCTGCATGGAGCCAGGTGCCTGCCCGGAAACCCAGCTCCCCCGGTGGGGGCTCAGCTCCTGCTCCCTTCCCTCTGCTGTCACACGGAGATAATAACATCTCCCTGGCAGAGGCGTTGAGTGGACTAGAAGAGTGTGTATTGTTAAAGACTGGGATGGTGTGAGGTAAGCCACACCAGTGTCACAGCCTCCTAGCCACCTTCTCTCTCTGTGGTTTCACTCACCCTCAGTCACCTGTGGTCGGTATGATACAGTGTAATAAAATGCTGGGGGGGGATCACAGTCACATAAATTTGATCACAGTTTCTTTTCATAGTTATTCTATTTTATTATTAGTTATTATTGTTAATCTTTTACTGTGTCTAATGTATAAATTTCCCCTCAGCATAGCGATGCCTGTAGAGGAAAAGCCAGTACACACAGTCGTGTGCCACATAATGACACTTTGGTCAATAACAGACCACACATACAACTGTATATACCATGCAGCCTAGATGTGTCGCAGGCTGCACTCTCCACGTGTGTGCAAGTACACAAGGACTTGCTCATGCTCCCACAGAGACGGCATCACTCCGCTATGCATTTCTCTGAACATGTGACCATCATTAAGTGAAACACGACTCTACAGGGCTCCATACTACCTACAATTGAGGGAATTCATGGAGTGGGAGCATGGATGAAAGGGGACAGCCGTAATTAAGGTAGGCGTGACTCCCCGGGAACACGGCAACACGTATCTCTGAATCCGCACTGGGCTTGGAAACCCCAAGCAATGGCAGTCCACACTGAGGGACGCAGAAGCCAAGGTCCCCAGCTCGCAGGGCACACCCAAGCCTTCAGGCCAGCTGCTGGCAGTGGGCTGTCTCCGGAGCGTGCCCTGGGGCTCACAGGCTTCAGCTTGGCCAGCAGATCCAGAAGCCAGTGCTGAGGTTCAGTGGTTCCTCTGGCAGATAACACCTTTTGTACACAGTCCCATGTGAGTCTAAGGACAAGAAATTTCTACTCCTCAGTACTTTAGTACTAGAGATTTGGTTACAGAATATGCTCGGTAAATAAACTTGGGAAATGTCACTCTGCATCAAGACTATCCAACTGCTACTTTATAAAATAAACATTAGAGCCAACCAATGTTTAAAGCTGGAGGAGCAAGTTGAAAATTCCTGAATTGGCCTCCTTTTGCCGTACTGTACACTTAAAACATTAAATACGCTACTCTGGAACTAAAAAAATGCTTCCATGTAGACAAGTTGATTATAAACTGATAAACTCTTGGGGCAGGGAAAGCTCAGCAAGTCTGGATCATTTGTTAATTAACAGTCAATACTGACTGGTTACGCCATTCTTAACAGTCTTGCAGCATACACTGCTATGGGCATTTATCTTACTGCTCTGCAACTGGTTTTATGCTATTTCTCTCTTCTTCTCAACTAGACACAACCTTAGGGGTCAGGCCTGACAACCCTGAACCCTCAGAACAATTCTCTGTACACAACAGGAGCTCAAAAAGTATTGGATGGATTGCTAAGCAAGGAATCCAGAGTTTTTACTGGCCACCTGAGTTTTAAAAAGGTTTTGAGGAAAATGGAAATTAATGGAAACAAAGCCTTTGTAGATAGGGAGGGAGGGAGGGGTTGAAGGGAGGACAGGGGAATGGGGAAAAAATAAGAATCAAGATTGATCATGTAAAGGTACAAATTTCCATTAAATGTACCAATAAAATCAATTTTTTTAAAAAAGGGCTGGGATGTAGCTCAGTTCTACTGCGCCTGCCTGGCAAGCACAAGATCCTGGGTTCGATCCCCAGTACTGCAAAAAATAAAACAAAAAGGTTGTTAGTGGTCTGAGTGTTAGCTTTCTTAGAAACAGTGAATTTCTCAACAGAGAAGGGGTTCAGAATCTTACAGAGGTGCTGTTCATCAGTAACCCTTTCTTCAGGAACCCGTAGCTGTCTTCAGCATGTCTGAGTAACTTTGTGATAACATTTTCTCCGCAAGATTGGTTTCTAGAGTTGATGATGCAAGAGAATTAGGAGAAACACAGAAATTAGATGATACTCTCGAACTGTGTCTTTTCTTTATACAAAGTGCACGGACCACACAACTGTGATGGTGTTTTCTCTGTGAATGGCACCTAACTGCAAGCACGTTGCACTCGTGGGCCTGTTCGTTTGGTCACTTGGTGGGTGTGGCATCCAATAGCATGCAGCTCTCACAGGTACCAATTAGCTGTGCCACCCGCCCCCCATGCTGACCAGCTGAGCTCAGGCTCCCTCGTCCACACACATACCCTTGGGGGTCATAAGCATCCACCCTGGAGGTCAAAATCAATTTCAATACAGACTCTGATATGAAAGGGGGACAATGAGAATAATAAAATAGCATTTGCTGTCATCCCTCTCCTTAATGTTCAACTAGACACTTTATCCTTTCCCACTAGGCAACAAGGGATGGTGGATCGGTTTACGCACGGGCCCACTCCCTTGTTTGTTTGGGGCTTTGGTTGCATCTAGACAGCTCTCTCAGCTTCTTCCAGCTGTGCGGAAGTGTATAACACACACACACAGCCACGTCTCAGAGAAACACACTGAGTTCCTCATTGGAACCCAGTTTTTCTAAAAATCACCAGCACTCGCATGAACAGGTTGTCTGCACAAGATCCCCGATGTGGAGGCTGGCGGTTCTTCGTCATGGGACACTCACAGGACACTGGGCAGTGCTCCTGGGCTCTCTCCACCCACTAGGTATCAGAAAAGGTGTCTTCACCCCCAGTTATGACAATCTAGTCTGTCTCCTGACGCTGCCAAGTGTCACCTGAGAGGCAAGACTGCCTCTGCTTGAGAACCACTGTTTTCAAGTAAATGAAACTTTCATTTTAATTCTGACAAGGTGCAGTCAGAGAAGAAAATTGTAAGCAACTGAGAAACTTCCCTTATAACAGGAACTTGTAGCAAGGAGAGAGAGCTCTCAGGCAGAGAAGTCACTAACAGTCACTAAATATGGATAAATCCCAAGACAGGGGTAGGCCCAGTTAGAAGGGGAGTAACTCTGGGGTACATTTTACCTTACGAAAGACTGCAGTGCCTTCAGCACATGTGCTCAGATTATAAAGCCTATTTTTTTAAGATCCATGTAGGACAATCCGTACAGGATGTACATCAACATAAACAAAAGACTTCTGAGGGCAAAAGTCTACACTCAAAAGTGCCAGATGATGAAATACTTTTTTAAACATTCTTTGGCCCCCACCACAGCCTCCATGAAACTGTACTTACAAGTTATAACAGACATTAGAATCGACACCCAAGGCCAACATCCCCAGGACCCCGTACTTGCCCCACACTGAGAGTGACTGCCCCTTTCCATATAACACACGGCAAGTACACGTCAGTACACAGCCTCAGTGTTTTACACTCAGACGAGGGGAGCACTGTGAGCGGGGTGTACCGGGGAGCTCGAGCCCCCTGGCTGGGCCCACAGCACATGACCCAGTGAAGATCCCTTACAGTCTTATTTTTCTCACCTAGAAATTGGAACAGTAACCGTACCAGACTTAGGTTTGAAGGCAAATTTAAATATGAAACATACTTCTAAGCTGTAAATCATTATGTACAATTTGGCAATTATTCAATGGAGTTTAATTGACCATTCAAACAGATGAAGAGAAAGTAACTCAGGTATTCACTAATCTTTTACATCTTATAATTTGTACACCTAAAATTCAGTGGGTTTTATACATACCTATCTCTTTTTAGGGGGGGAACTATATTACTATTTTCCAACCCCTGAAGCTCATAAAATGATGTTAAAAATTGCTTCCAATTGATTCTAGTGGTTGTTTTAAATCCAAATCTGTATTAAAAGAGAACAAAAATATTATTGTAAACATGTCTTCTATAACACCATGGATTAGATGCTTAATATTGAATTGGAAATGGCAGCAATGAATTTACATGAAGTTTCAAACCTAAGGCAAACCTAATCACTTAGTAAAATAGCACTACAAATTGATTTTTAAAAAGCAGAGAAAAATCAAACTGATTATACATCTTCACATTTCTGCATTCTGCTAGTGATGGCACAGACTGAGGAAAAAACAAGGGTTTTGGTTAAACTTCTAATGTCCAAAGAATAATGTGTGGTTGGTGAGACACCTGCAAGGTGTCCAGGTCCCACCCCTCAGGGATCTGCAGGTACCTAACCTTACACCGCGGAGGGCTTTGTTGATGCGGTTAAACATGTACCTTGAAACAGAAGGGTATCCTGGCTTATCTGGGTGGGCGGGCCTACTCTAATCACATGAGTTCTCAGAAATGCAGAAAGCAGCAGCCAGGGAAAGGTGTGACCTTCGTAGCTCTGAAGATGTTGGAAGGGGCTGTGAGCCAAGGAGAGCAGGTGGCCTGTAGAAGTTGCAGGTGACTAGAAAAAGATCTTCCCGCAGCTCCAGGGGACCTGCTGCCGCCTGGTTTTAGCCTGAGAGTTCTAGGATGCCATGGGCTTCTCACTGGCTAAACGTTAGCGTAAGAAGTTTGTGTTGCTCTAGGACACTAGCTTTGTGTCTTTGTAGGGCACCACTAGAAAACTAGAGTACACTTAAAGTCTTAGCAAGAATACATGATTAGAAAATTATTCAAAAACACATTTCCAAGGTGAATATGGTCCCATGACTCAGGGCCCAGTCACTTGGGCATTAACAGGATGGCACCAGAAACAACTTGGGAGTGAGCATTGGTTTGAGATTCAGAAAGGCCAGAGCACAAGTCCCCTGCTCCTTCCTTCCTGCTGATGTGACTCAGACGAGCTGCTTCCTCTTCTGCATCTCTATTCGTAACTGCAAATGAGAGTGAGTAGTCACACCCACTGTGAGGGAGGGTTCTTACAAGAATCACAGCTAATGAGTCAAAGGCCTCAGCTGCAGGCCAGAGTTGGATCACATGCCCCACCTTCTGTGTATGTCACGTACACACCAAGTGTCAGCACCCATCTGTGACAGGACAGCAAAAAGCGGTTCTGGCTAAGATCCCCAGACAACAGACAGGAGATGAAGAAGTGGGCATGAGACAGGCCACCCAGCTTTGATTGTTAAAAAGTAGTGCTTGGGTGAGGACCAGGTAGACAAACTAAACTCCTCGTCCACATCCAGGGTTCGAAAAGGTCCAGAAAAAAAGAAAGAAACGGGAGAGAGGGGTTGTCTCAGTTGCTTTCTCATCGCTGGGACAAGACATTCAACACTCAAAATTTAGGGCCAGGGATTTAGCTCAATGGTGCCACTGCCTGCCTCACAAGCAGAAGGTCCCAAGTTCCATCCCCGGTATAAGAAGAAAGCAAGCAAGCAAGAAAGCAAGCAAGGAAGGAAGGAAAGAAAGGGAGAGAGGAGCAGCTTATCTTGGCTCGTGGTTTTTAAAGGACTCAGTCCATGGTCAACTGGCTCCAAGGCAGGAGGGCGCAGTGGAAGGGGCTGGTGGAAGAACGCTGCTCATGCCACGGTGGCCAGGAAGCTGAGAGTGAGGGGGACCCAGGAAGGGAGATACACACTTCGAGGTCACACCCCCCAGGGCCTGCCTCTTCGACCTCACTCCCGCCTCGTAAGAGTGCATTCAGGGATGGACTCATCCATGGGGCGGTCCTCTGATGAGTGTGACACCCCACGATCCAATCGTCTTCCAAATGCCCCACCCCTGCACACACGAGGCTTTGGGGACATTCTAGTCAAGGACGGCAAATCTTCTTAGAGCTGTGAATGATATAAACAGCCCATGGCAGCATGCGTGCCGTAGGATTGCTACCACCATTCTAGATCTAAACCATAACGGGTGAGAGATGCCCAGCCCTCACCTGAAGTCTGGTGAGCACTGCTCCTGGTGGGGAGGCAGCGGTTCTGCGGGTGAGCTCTAATGCCACGCGTAGGGTGGCCTCCTGGTCTAGCCCCACCTCAACCTTGTCCTCCAAACTAACAGGTAAAGTTTGTTTTCTTTTAGTAGTGAGTTCTGTGGTGAGCTAAAGGGCCTCATGCGGCTGCCCCTCTACCTGGTCCACTGTACACACAGGCAAACTGTGTGTCACTTGGCCATGAAGCTCTACCCAAGAGAAGGTCCCCTCTCTGCAATATGCCACCTCTGGTGTAAAGTGCCCCTAAATCAGTTCCTGAAAAGAGGGCCCTTGGGTATGAGAATCACTGCCACCTCTGATGTAATAAAGTTCTCTGTGGACCACAGCACCTGCCCTGGCTTCTGCCATGAGTCAAGTAGACTGAGCCTTCTGCTCAGGAACAATCCCACTGGAGAAGCTTGACTTGGGTCCCCTGCAACTGGGAGTGCTGGTGCCTTGCTCCCAGCAGAAACCTTGCATGTGAGAGGGGAGCTGGCTGGCCATGTGGAAAAGGAAGAAGGGGTGCAATGCTCAGAGTCACTGGAAAATAATTACCAAGGTCCTGCATGGGTCAGAGCGAGAGTAAGTGCACACAAGCACATGCGGGCATCTTAGCTCCTGCTCAAGGCCGCCACAGGGCACAGGGGAGACTTTGATGGAGGAGGCTCTCCTCCAGCCCCAGATTTCCAAGGGCTGAGAAGGGAAAAGTACTCCGCTGGGAAGGAGGTGTGTTTACCTTTGACTTATAAGAAACTCAAAGGCAACAGAGGCACCCAAGGGAGGGGAAGCACCTTGTTAGGCCCTGACGATGCAGCTCAGAAGGAGTCAGAAAAGTTGGCAAAGGGGAGAGAGATACAGCATCAGGCTCCCTTATGCCCACCTGTTCGCAGGGCTGTGTGGGAAGGACACAAGCCACATGTCAGCCAAGACTACCGGTTTGAATCCTATGTGAGAGGAGCTGCAGCACTACTAAACTGAGGCTCTGCGTATGATCCAGGACTCGCCTAAAAAAAGGAAGGTCAGCTAATGCTTCCATTAGGACAAAAGAACTCATCCACTGGAGCAAATTTAAGTCACAGTGGGAACCAAAATTAAACAGCTTTAGCCTTGTTTGTTCAACTCAGGTTACACATCCACCCACTCACCCATCCATTCATATTCTCACAGAGAGGGCCAAGCTCCTATCTTTTTTTTTTTCTTTTTCTTTTTTCTTTTTTGGTACTGTGGATTGAACTCGGATCCTTGTGCTTGCGAGGCAGGCGGTGGAACCACTGAGCCAAACCCTGGCCCCTATGCTCCCACTTTCACTCACTTGGATTGTTGTAATCTCCTTGTACCTAATTTGCCTCCCTCCAGTATACTTCCACATAACCGCCAGCCAGATCTTCTTGAAATACAAATCTAATCAGGTCACTCTTTTGCTTAAAATACCTGTATGCCAGACTTTGGGTCTTAGGATAAAAACTCATATCCAGTAACTCCAAGTCTGCATAGCTGGCCCGGCTCACACCTCTACCACAGCAGGAAGCCACGCTGCCCTCAAAGGGCTCTGCATTTCCTGTTTGGGTCCTTTTACTCTTGCTGCATCCTCTGCTAACTGCTGTGTTCCTCCATTCTTCCCTACTTCCCATATTTAACAGCTAATTCTATGTCTGTTTCAAAGCTCAGCTCAGTCATTACTTCCCCCAGGAAGACGTCCTTGATTTCCAAGACCAGTGCTACTTCCCCTCCAGACGCTCAGAGCGCTGTCTCCTTCCTTTACGGCATCCACCGTAAGTTAAGTGTCACTACTACTAAGATTATAGCATTTAGCACTTCTACAGCACTTGTACTATACTTATGATTATCGCAGATAATACCTGATAAATGATTACTATTTTACTTCTGCTATTAGCACTGTATACATGGTTATGAGAAAGAGAGACAGATAGGTTTGCTGAGGTTGTTAGGCACACACAGCAACATGTAAACAAGTGGACTACAACCTGGGCTTCATGTACAACTACTCATATACAAACATTTTTTTTCATTTTCTTACTCAGTTTTTCCCCCCAAACTGCGATATAGTTTGTCACTGTTCTGTATTTTCATCCTCAATTTCACCAAGTCGGATATTAATTTTCTGTGTTAGAAAGACTGGCTACTCTTAAAAATAGATTCATTTTTTTTATATTGTGTTTAGGAAATTGCCTTGTACTTTGGGGGGAAAAAGATTAAATGAAATCTTGGTAACTTATATTAAAGTAAATTCAAAATGGATTAAAAAGTTAAATTTAAAATTATAATTACAAGAAAAAAAAACCTAGAAGAAAATCTAGGGAGATGCCTGCTGGGTACTTGAATAAAAACAATTTTTTAAAATAAAAATTAAAAAATCTCAAACTTACCATTCAATCACATCAAAATACAATACCATGAATTTAGAACCACACAGCCTGACAGCATTATGTATCACGAACATGTACAGTGAATTGCTGATATTCTTAAAACAAAGTGCTTATTTTACAAAGCATATGAAAAATGCTAAAACTTGGCTTTTGCCAGTGATGGTAGCCTGAGATTCTCTTGGACCGGCCTCCTACAGATGACCACAGGGAGCCCAGAGCCTGTGACCCAGAGCACGGTGACAGAGACCAGCTGTGCCTGGTGGGGACGCCACACTAAGAGGGCAGCAGGTGTGGGCAGCATTTCCATCCTCCGGCCTGGGGTTGGTCCTGCAGCAGGAGGGGCGCCAGGAGCACCAGCTGTGAGACACCTGGAAAGATGGACCGTTGGGAGATCATGGCTACCAGAGAGAAAAAGAAAATCCTGGGAGAGAAAGAGCCACAGAGGGAGCCCTAGACGTTGCTCACCCCAGGTGCATCAGTGCCACGTGTTCTCACTCATTTGTCAACCGTGTAGAAGAATAGAAGGGAACAGTGGTTGCCAGAGAGCAGCAGGGTGTGTGGGGGACACTGAAAACAGAAATCACTTCTGGTTCTTCT